TCTTTACAAACGAATCTTAACGCTTCATACTGATGACTATTCTGAAACTGATTAGATTACCCCATGTGCAAATCTCCCAACCAGTAAGATTGTTTATCAAAAGATTCAGACGCCAAGTTAATAAATGATCTGAAGAAGAACGCTTGCGATTTGAACTTTTGGATTTATAAACTCCTTGAGAATCGCTTTCCATACTCTACGGAGGCTTTATCGTAAGAGTATAAAATGCTAATCGAAAAATGATGCTGGCAATACTGAGAAATGGAAAATTTAACTGAATCAGTGAAAGGATCTCTTTGGTTTTGCTAAGTTTAGGAGAAAATTTGACCACTCACGATCATCTCTCCAATGTCATCGTTCATAGTATCACAAGGACTCTCGCCTTGTTGGCCGATTAGCACTTCTAACTCCATAGCAGTGGTCAGATTCACCAAAGTGACCACTCGGCCACCGTAATTGTTGATCGCTTGATGCGGAAGATGACCCCCTGAGCCACCGTATGCTTCGATTCTCAAATATATGAGCGGTAAGCTGGTAACATAAGCTGAATATGACGTAAAAAACCAACAGTTCAGCGCTCTTAGATGTTAAGGGTGGCAAAATTCCTTCGAAATGCTATAAGATAAAACGCAATTTACCTGTATTCAGCAGTCTTTGGTGCTAGCCATTTCTGGAATCCATCCTTTCGCCCACTGGCTAGCACAGCGTGAGTATTACTGGAAAAAATTTTGTGACTTTGCAGTTTTCTATACGAGAGCAATTGTGTATTCAACATGACCAAGCAAACAAGCTACCGTTGGGAGCGCTAACAACTGAACAAAACCACTCAACGGAACACAGATAGTCTTTGCGATAGCTCAACTGGTAAACTGCCCGACCGGTAACATATCATGCATTTCTGTTGCACTCACTGAGAAAAATTTTGCTTGAAATTAAATAGTCTATTGATGTCATTAATATTATCGAGCTTATGCCTTGGATTATATCCCATCATGGTTATATCTCATCATATGATCATATGAGCAAGGCTATGACTTGGATTGTAATCTATTCATATAGACAAGTGAAGAACAATAGTTTATGAAAGTAATAGATCACTTTTTACAGTATCACTGTCAACTTTTCGCACTATATTCATAGCAATAGTACCCATTTGATGGTAAACTCATATTGCATCAAATGAGATTTTGTCTAGTCAATAAGATGTCTGCTACAGACCGATAGGTTCTTAAGAACAAAAAAATGGATAAGGTAATTTTCTCATCGAGTGAGAAATCAGCTCACGTATGATTGTAGAACTTCGCACAGTCAGTAGTTGACGGTGCTTGATTTCCAGACTGACCACAGCTAGTGATATTGTAAACGAACGGAATGTACTGACTACGCCATGCAACCTCTGCAATCAAATATCACTTCAAGAAACAACCAAATCATCCAATTCAAATCCATAAATAATCGAGACTGTTTCACGTACACTAAATCTCCAAAACTAAGTCCACCGAGCAATTTGACTGACTATTTTTTCTTCACTGAATAAGAATCGTAAATTTGATCCTTTGTGGGCGCATAAATAAAACTCCGAAATTAAATTTTAAAGTTACTAAATTCGAAGGCTGCTATATCAATCTGAAGTGAAACTCCATGAAGAGTCTGAATTTGACAAACAATTGGAGATCATTTCGTCGGAATACAATCGGCTATTCCAAATGAAACTGCTAATAGAGAATATAACGAGCAAACCTCTTGTGAAGCAATTCGGTGTCATCGAGAAATCATCAATAGCGAAACTTATCGATGAATCGAATATTTTACTGACACTCATCTTCAAATAATATTCTCCTTTCTGTTCAGGCAAATCCACCGATACTTTCATCCACTCGCAATAGTAACTTTGATCGCCAAATGTGGAACTTGACGGAGGGGTCCAAATGATTTTTGATGGTTGTCCATTAAGAGGTTGCACGATCAATTGGAGTGTTGATATGGCACTACCGTACGAGCAGTAATAGAAACGTACCTGAATTCTTTGAGATCCCAATTTGTTTTCTGTATGAAGTGAAGAGCTCAAGACTACGAGAACAGCTATGAAGGATCCGAGGATCCTAATTACAATGGATAATATGTGATAACTAGGGTTCAATTTATTGCAGCGCATCGCAAGTCTGATTCTGTTTGAAAATTTCATGGAAATGGGAGAGGTCGGATAGCAGCTGGAGCTTCAAGACCTTTGCATTTAGAACTTCTTTAAGTTCATCTCAACGCTTTCACTTTATTCAAGTGCATCGCAACACTAAAGCATAAATCTCATGCAACA